GAATGTGTAGTAGTTGATTTGAATGTGATTTTTGTCATTGAGTGAGAAGCCACCTCTGGCAACTCACGGGTATATAAACCTGAGCTTGAAGGGAGAAGCCCTTCCCGTGATGCTTCTACAAATTGTTCTCAGGTATGTTAACGAGTGTTCCCCGCCGATATAGTCATTCAGTTTAACTTAATCAATTGTGTGAATATGAGTGTTCATGTTGTAACAGTGAAATTGTCATTTACCCAGTGTAAGAATTAATATAACGTAAATGTCGTCTGACGTTGCTAGACGAAAGATTGTTGGTGATTGAGTCATCATCAGCCTTCCCGTGACACTTCTACAAATTGTTCTCAGATCCAGTGTGTGGGCTATTTGAACATCCCACCGACTGCCCGGAGTCGGTGGATACCTACCAATTTGCTGTAGTGGACGATGTCGCTGATTCGACATGATTAAAACTGCAAGTCCGCCTCGTGGGCCATGGACCTCAGACGCTCGCCACGTGTCGGACTACAACCGACCACAACAGAGGTCGTCAGTTGTTAGAGATGCCCGTCTTATATCCTAGGACACCCCGTACAGTTGTATGGTCCACAGTGTTTGTTGTATATGTTTGGGGATAATTAACGGAATATAATTATCCCCTGTTGAGTAGTGAACCCATGGAAATTGTTGGTATCAGTAATAAGGTGTTGTGTTGTGAGTGCATCCTCCATATGCACTAACAATAGTCTAGTGAAGGTATCAGATGTAAGTTTGTCTTGTAATCTAATGTAATGTCATGTATCACCAGTAATGTTGTAAGAAGCGAGAGTACCCACTTGGAATTACAGATAAGTAAAAGCCAAGGAGTTGATCCTTGTAGCTGTGTGTTAATGTAATGTACCATCCAGTAATGTTGTAAGAAGTAGTGGAACTGCAGATGAGTAAAGCCGAGGAGTTGAACCTTGGAGTTGTATGTTAATGACATCTTTCACCTAATTTATTTTCATATTAATAAACCATTTCTTAGAGTATATTAGGGGTATTCTTTTCTCCTAGTATTTACCTTTATTTCCGTCCAAGTGACTTGATACTAGAATTACAGTACCCATGTGCCCTAACCCTCGCCATGCTACCAAAGAACTGAGGTTATTGAAGTGACCATGAACTGAAATATTTAGACAGAACAAATGAAGGAAATAAGACAAGGAAAGAAGTATGAAATAAGAATATAAGGGAAAGAAGAAAATCTCCGCCCTAAGAGTGGCAGAGAATCCCTGCCCTTATAGTAACAGCTGACACTGCTCTACCTGACACTGTTGCCAGCACTCACTGAGGCACTGTTGTTGTCACTACTCAAGAGGGTTGGTGCTTACCACAGGATCTGTCTTGAGCACTTAGTAAATAATATTGCAGTATATTTATCAGAACTTCATAAATATTATTGTGTATAAAATATCTCCATATGCCCTGGTTTATTCATTGATGAGATGTCTAAGTACAAAAGTAGCCAAATAGAGCCACCATATGTCATTTAATTTTAAAGCAGAAATTAGAAATTATAATGTTATAAGACAATAGTTTAATTGTGCTGTTTATGTGTGTGGGGTATGAGATATTGGTTCACACTCAGGATGGGATGGAGAAAGGAAACTCACAATGTGCTCTCTGTATACATATTGTATTGGATGTACAATGCAGCTTGGTGCTGGGAAGTGGCAGTGTGGTTACAAGCGTGATGTATTGAGACCTGGTTGGTGAGGATGCTCAGAGGAGGACCAGCTTGTGGGTCGCCATGCTCGCCGGTGGGAGCGAGGGCCGCCAGGCAGGAGCGGAGGAGGTGGTGTTACTTGAAGACTGGCTGTAGGTAGAAAGAGAGCTAGGTCACCACGAGGTCAGGTCTTATATAGCGGAGGTAGGCGTGGCTTAATAGTTGACCTCCGTCGTGTAAGGCGGCGCTGGTTGACCCAGACCACGAGGCATACACTGGGGAATTTGCGGGGTCGGCTACTCAGCGACAAGCGTTTGTAGGGGAGGAATCCACTACAAGTGTCTTGTCACTTCACCTCTCGCATCGTCACCTCATAGCATTATGTTTATTTATTACTGCATTATTTACTTAATTATTACTGTATGTACAGTCTCCTTCACGCGTACATTTACAGGGGCTCGTCGGGTTTTGTGCAGTGTGGCAGCCCCGTGTAAACATGCCATGGAATGAAATTAAAACAAATATTTGTGGATTGTTTATATGACGAGCCCCTGTAAACACACTAGTGAAGGGGACTGTAAATTTAGATTATATTTATGATTGTACTGTAATTATAAGTGTATTATTTTATATGACAACCAAGGCAAAGCTCAAAAATTGAACGAATAATTGAACAAAAAAAATCGGAAATTGTTGAATCTTGTAAAAACATTCCGAACTCTGTTTCTTCGGATTTTTCAGTAATTTGAGGGGACCAGAGCCGACTTTTTTGTCAACTCAACGAGGGTATAGTGTATTTAGGTAATTATGAACTCGGTGTAAGTGGTCACCATGCAATGTTATAGATATGCATAACAACATAGTACAGTGATCCCTCGGTTAACGAATTACCTTCCATAAGAATCAACTCGATTAACGAAAAAAATTCGGTTAACGAAATCGTGTCAACATGTTTTCGCCTGCTCACCAGCTGGAGTATTAGTCCGCCAATACAGTACTCGGTTTTAGGGCTTAAATTCGTTCCCGTTTGAGTAAATATCAAGAAGGTTGTACTATTCAATAATTTTCCAAGTCTTATATTAAAATTTTTAGTCATTTTAACAATTATTTAACATAATTGAAGTACAGGGCACTAGTTTTTAGTGCACTAAACAGCCACTTGACTCACCCAGAATGGCGTCAGTTTGTGTCTCTGCTCAGTGGAGGAAGCATCTTGCTTGAGACTCTCTTGAACATAAACTATTTTTACGTTTTTACAGTACAATTATTGGTCATTCTGAAATTTATTTTACATATTGACAATGTAAAGTGCAGTGTAGTGTTGATTTAAAGAAAATAATCTTGAATTACACCAAGTGAACTTAAAATTTTATGGGTGAAATGACGGCATGAAGCATGGGGTGACTTCTCTTCCACCCCCCACTTCCTTCTCTTCTCCCTTCTCCTCCAGCCCCACTTGTAATTCCCATCATCATCAACCAGGAGCCTTCTACATGCATACCTCAAAGTAAGTGTACTTTACTGTATTTATTTTTAGTTTGTATGTAATTTTCGGTGAGCTGGAACCAATTACCCAAAATCCCATTGAAACAATGGTTTCGGTTAACGAACGACTTTCTGGAACGAATTGTGTTCGTTAACCGAGGGACCACTGTATATAACAATAACTTCGTACACATTTATGCTTATTATAGTGTAATTCTCATCCGGTATTGCATATTAAGGCACATGCTTGAAGCCTGGCCAAGAAGTCAGATCTGAAACCTCTTATATTGATGAGCTGGCTTCGTTCACACAGGCCAGCAAATAGATTCATCTTAGACCTGAGAAGCACCTACAGTATATATTTTTGCCCTCAGAGGTAGATAAAGTCTTAGCTCTAGATAATTGTTGCAACAATAAAACAAAAACTCCAGTGTGTTTCAGAAAATCCTTGTAACTTGACAGTGTACTGTACTTTACTGTAAATAAAAGATAACCCAGAGACTTAGTTATTCAAGAACTGACTAAAACATGAGTTGGCAGAGAGTAAAGTATAAAGTAACTTAATGAAACAAAAGCATATAGGTAGCAAAAATGTATACCTGTATACACAGCGGTCCCTCCATTAATTAGCGGTTCAATTTACGAGATTTGGGTTAACGAATTAGCTCCCATAAGGATTTTCAGTTCTCTTAACGAATACAACTTCTATTAACGACAGCCTTACAAGAAACACGCCTTGGTGGGTGCATCAGCTGGTCGGCCAGTCTGCCAATACAGTAATTGGTTCTATGTTTACATTTGTTTCCAGTGGAGTAAATATCAAGAAAGTTGGTCTCTTGAATATTTTTTAATTTTTTATATTAAAATTATTGGTCATTCTGAAATTTAGTTAACATATTGATAATATAGACAGTACAGGGAACAGTTTTTGTGCGCCCAACAGCTGATCGAATCACCCAACAACGCTTCTCAGTTTAACTTTGTTTACAGTAGAGTGGACATCCAGTTTGTTGGTCTCTTGAATATTTTTGCATTTTTACATTAAAATTATTGGTCATTCTGAAATTTAGTTAACATATTGATAATATACAGTGCAGAAATAATGAAACACGAAGAAGTCATTAGAACCAATGCACACTGTAAAGAATATGGCATGTCATCATCTACTGCCTCTACAATCAGCTGTTTGATATGTAAACAAAGCTGCTGGGAATACGACATACACACCTCAAAGCAAGTTAAAATACAGTATTCTATTATTTTTATTTATTATTGTACAGTACTGTATTTACTTTATATTTACTGTTTTGTTAATTCTATTACCGGTATACAGTACTTTGTATGTACCTTTTCTGTGAGTTGGAACTGATTACCCAATATCCCATTGAAATAATATTCAGTTAATGAAATTTTCAGTTTGCAACCGACTCTCTGTAACCAATTGTGTTCGTTAATCAAGGGACCACTGTATTATCGAAGTATACCTTTACTGTACTTTTATTATTAGTTGTGAAGAAATCATGAAGATAAAATTTATTTTTGTAACTTCAAAGTTTTCATTTGTAAATTGAATCAAGGGATGTAATTAAAATTTTCATAATTCATAATTAGCTAACTGAACCTTCATAAATCAAGGACTGCCTGTACAGCAGCTAACACAATTATCTGTGCATACTTTGTGGGAAACAATATGAGACCACGGACGATAAAATTTGGTATACGAGGGCTGTCACTAGTCACACGTAAAATTTCGGACCATATCGACCCCCACCTGCACAGATAGCTGTTTTAGCTACTGTACATGTAAAAAAAAAAAAGGCTGGTACATGAATTATTTTTCACATTTAATTTTTATTATAATAAAGACTATACATTATATTTCCATACTACAGGTTATCACATACCTCACAAATATCTGAAGCACAAATGATCATTTTCATGAGGAATTAAACATGCATACATCCTGTCAATAGTAATATTGACAATATTGCAAACTTCAATCAAATCGGTACCAATTACACGTTAAATTTTCAACCATTCTCCAAGAGCCATAATAATGCATATACTATATGAGATTATATTCCATACACTCAGTCGTCCCAACTGCTCAATAGTGTGATAAGGATTATACTTACAATATTGTAATGGAAGGATAAAACACTCTGATATTTCTTATATAAAATACACCTAACCAACTGACAACTGTACTTTACAACTATGCAAGATCTTAAAAAAGTGTGCAACTAAAAATCCAATTATACTTTCCACTAAGGTACTGTAATTGCAATACCATTTAATAATCCTTAGAGGATGCATAATATATGACAAGAGAGAACACCTCACTGTTTAATTCCATTTAAAAGGATCTTTCCAATGACTTGGTCATAAATACTCCTAGTTCTGTGCCAGTAGTCACTGCAATGAAAGACACCGGACTACATTTACAGATGAGACTATGTAAATATAAAATGATTACAAACTGAATGAAAGGCAGTAAATAGAAATGACTGAATATGGCTGTTTAAATAATCCTGAAATTACAACATATCAGACACACACACAACTTGTGAAATCCACTACATTATGCGAGGACTGGAATTGTGTTAAATTCATATCCATCAAACAAAATCATTTACCTGTCCAGATTAAATAATCACTTGCATGGCACTTGTCTTTCTTTAAGTACCCTATCTACGACACTCCTCTGGGTGGCTTCCTATGACATGGCTACAGCAGAAGAGCCTTCACTACATACCTCCTAAACTATTTTATTTCCCTTCTCATTAAACAAATTGTTCTATCTTTGCCTCCTCCACACAGTCACTAACCTCCCCCCCCCCCTACATGTTCTTTGTCATCTTTTCTGCCTGCATCCTTTTCATATGTCCATACCACCTCAGCAAACCTCTTTCTCCATTCCACAATTTACACGTTCCGTACCTCCAAATTTACGGCCCCTCCCTCGGTTATATTACCCAACTCTCTCTCCTCACCTTTTCTTGCATATTGTTCTCTTATTTCTCTCCATCACACCACTCATACTTAACATCACACACATCTTTAACCTCCTCCAGTATTCCCTTCTTTACCACGACTACATTTTACTGTATATTATATGAATATTAAGAATAGTACATTATCTATGATTAACTGCAAGTCAAAGCTAATTGTTTGTGGGCATCATCAGCAGGTATGAGAACAGCGGTCATCAATCACCTTTCATCATGTAAAGCACTTAATGTTGTAGCATTAACCCTATGATGGGGTGTTCATTAAGCTAGTATACTTTATGGCATTTGTGGTGTGATTTTACCATAATTATTACTATATTTTAAAAGTAACACGATACACCATCAGCATGTACTGACCGAGCATTAATGTTGCTACATGGCCCTGGATTCCCAATGATGCAACTGTTACTGTACACAGTACCACCAAGTGTTCTGCACCCTTATATACATTCAGTGAAGGAGTAAGATGGTCTCTGTTCACCTTGTGTGGCAGGTTAAAATTTTTAAGGTAAGAGTAATGCTCAATAAGTAACCAAACCCAAAAAATGCAAAGGAAATACATTATCTGTTCATAAAAACAAACAATAGGGAAACCAAATCCATGTGATTCTTAATGCTCGGTCAGTGGGAATATGTGTAGAGGTATGCTGAGAGAAGCTGTGTATGATATGAATGAAGGATGTGTAAGGCAGTACCTGTACTGATTAAAAATAAACTAGGACACAGCAGTCACTCACCATTCTACTATAATATATCTCTTCTTGACCAGACAATTTGATTACATATAATGAAATAAAAATGTTCTGGGAAGAAAACATAATAAACACTATCAATAATTATATTTAAGTAATTTTTGTAAATGTATACCAACTTTATGGACACCCAAATCACTTGGTCATACCAGGAATTAGTATACTGCAAACATTAAACAGATAAACCATATTTAAATTGCATAAAATGTATCCCATAAAATGAAAGGTTTCTGCACCCATCCTACTGTTTCCTTTACAATCATAGCAAAATATATGAAGACAAAGAGTCCTACAGTTCCTTATGTTTTAAACAATGCCCATGCATTTTGGTCCATCGCCCCCTTTAATGAGCAGTTTACTGCTCCTTCTGGCCAATAAAACTGCAGTTGTTTTAAGTCATTAGAGCTGAAGGTACACTTTTACAGGTCAGGGACTGAATGATCCATAAACTTTACAAGAGAGCTTGCCATGTGCTTCATCATGTGTTTGTAAACAAAGGACGGCATTATGGTGACAGTGGCCACTTGTCCACACTCGTTGATGATGGCGGATATATCCTTATCCTTCACCCCAACGACATTCTGCCCGTTAATCTACAAAATAAGAATAAAGTTCACATTACTGCACTGAAAGCCAATACATACAAATGAAACAAAATTATCATTCTAGTTTATAAAAAAAAAATATACCACGTCTTCCCAGATCCGAAACATCTGAGAGCACCATCAAACTGTAATGAAAAGATATCTCCCACATCCCCTTTCATACCATCACATAAAGTACTATATAAGTAATATCATTTTATCTCCACTTTTACACGACTGTTTACCGATGCAGAGAACAACACTTAGCTTAGGCAGCATATTGTATACAGTACCATAAATGGCCAGAAGACATTACCATCCACAAGTAGAAGCACAACTGTACCCTAGGATGGAGGCACTGCAGCTTCACACTCACCTTGTTATATTAATCTTTATGTTTCCCTGACTTAACTTTGTCTTTTTATGTGTCCTTCTATGCTCTCATCTGGTCATGTTCACAGAAGGATCCCTTTACCATATAAAATGTTGAAGATAGAATCACAGCCTTGTCTACCATTACAATTTAACAACAAAAAAAAATGCTGTAATGGTCAAAATATCAAGATAAAAATAAGGGTTGATGCAGCAGTGCCACCCCCCCCCCCAAAAAAAACACAACCTATTACATCATTACTTATGTGGATATTACTTAGATTCATGCATTTTTCCCGTTTTTTTATTTTTATAATTTTCACCACAAATCAGATTACTAGCCATTCGGACGGCCTATCCAGTGTTGGTACAGGAGGAAACCGGGAGCTGGGAAACCTGAGGTGTTTGGTCGAGAGAGTCACACTGGCTAACCTGACTATCTTCAAAAATGCAGCTTTGGCATAAATCCTGAGGGTATTGTAGATCCATTTGTTAATGTACAGTGACACAAACACCACAAGTTACCTCACAGTGTAGTTATAATGATCTCGTTTTCAGAGGTGACTAAGATATTATTGCAAGATCATCATCAAATTTTTTTTTTTTTTTTTTTCATTCCAGCAAGATATCTCAAATATAAAATAACATGCCTTAATGAAACCAATGACAGTACCTATGACACCAAGGGGTACATAACACAAGTTCTTCTACACTTCATGTTCTGAATTATTACTTAGTCTGATGTAAATCCTTCCTCAAATTCTAAGTCTACCTGTAATTAAATTAGAAAATGATAACAGAAATTTGTCTATATACTGAAATCTCCATTTAACGGACCCTCGATCTAACACATACCAGTACGCAGTCCAACAGTCTTTCAGATGAAGCTTTCACATCTAATGGACTCATGATGTAAATACCATTAGATCTAACGGACTTCTCTCTATATAATCCGTTTAATGGAGATTTCACAGTGTATTCATGATGTGATACAGATGGACTTGTGCAACTATAGTATACTGTTCTTCCTTATACTCTTAAGTTGGAGGCATAATAATTAGGGCACCTTTCACTTCATTAGCCACTTACCTCCAGAAGATGATGATCTATGAGAAGTCCATTACGTGCTGCAGACGAGTCCTTGACCAAGGCTGTCACTTCACCATCACGGAACTGGAATCCAATATGGCCTGTGCTGTCCTTGTGGAGTGTTACTGTTCGCTCGAATGGCCTGAGGAGATAAAAGTCCCTCTTACATGTCTCATTAACTTACATACAATATGTAACCAAAGCTTGAAAAAGTTTCCATAATCATCTGTTATACATATTTTAGGGAATACAATGCCCCCATGGCCCAGTATATCAATAAAGGGAAAGTGATACTGTTATTTTTAATGTAATAACTAATATGACTCTTAACATGTAGCAAATTCTTCCAGCCACTTCTGACTCCCTCTACTACGCCAGCTTCAGTGCCACCTTCAGCGCTAATCATGTCACCCATTTTGCAAAACTCATTGACACTCTAGAGATGTCTTGTACGTGGTATCCCTCGTGTAGCGATGGGGTTGTGTTCCTGAAACTATTACTAAAGTAGGGATAACAGCAAAGCAAGGAGGGTGAACAGCAGGTTCAAACTACAGGGCAGTAAATGCTGAATACAGTACTGACCTCCCTAATAATAATAAGTTATAAATGGTTTCAAAATTAAACAACTGACTTAATAACACCAAACTTCTATATAAACGATGTGGTTCAGAGTTAAGTGATTTAATGAGCAAAATGTGATGGTAATTTGAAAAATTTTCAAATAGCATGTACAGTAGTACCTCAATACACTGGACTAATTGGTGTAAACCCCAGTCCGGAAAAAGCAAATCTATCAGGGGGTGGATGTAACCCTGCTTCTCTGGACAGTCAAGAAAATCAGGCATAAGTATGGTTGTCAACAACTGTTTTCACTGTGCGTGTATGTGTGGGAAGTGAATGGGTGGAGACGGTGGCTATAACTGTGTGGCAGTGCTCCTTCCCCATGTGATGTCATGGCACACACACATCTGTGAGTCAGCTGGGTGACTGTCTGGCTGAACTGTGTCATGTCACCAAGATGATGGTTTGAGTGTTGAAGGATCTATTTTTTGCACAAAAGTACTATGTGCTATTGTATTTTATGATATGTTATGTATAAATTTTATTGCTTATCATTGCAATAAACGTTGCAACTCATTCCCACTGTGCATGGTATTCAAATATAAGATTTTAGCCGATTTTGGTGGAATTTTTTGGTTTATAATTATTATTGTACAGTATTTAATTTTGGTGTTGGTTAGCTGAATCTGCCAGTTACCTGGACTCCAGATAACTGGCATTCTACTATACTGGTAACCACAGAATTTGTTGAAATGTCATTCCAATGTGCTTGCGTGCCTTAAAGGAAAAATCAGGAGATGAGTGTACATACTTGGGAGCAAGAGGTGGGAGGTAGCACGGGTGGGCGTCTCCCTCCCCCAGGAATACTTTTAACACGACTTTCGTCAATTTCTCCTTAATCCCTATAATGTTTAGGTTCATTTGGTGCCGGGTTGATATAATATTATCACGAAATAATCATATTTCCCGAAAGAGTCCCACACTCCACCCCAGATGAGTCATTGCATCATATTAAATTTCTTGTTTACAAACCTAGAACAGATGACCACTCTCCTTCACCATGTTAACAGTGCTCTCCAACTATCCCGGGCTTACCACAAGATGTCTTCAGTGTCTTAGTAAATAATATTGTAGTGCATTATGTGTCTGTATATTCCCGGATTTATTCATTAATCAGTTGTCTAGGTGTACAAGTAGCCAAATCAATCCATCGTGTATCACTCAGAGGTAATAAATACTGTAATGTTAAAAGGTGATTATCTCCATATCAAATACTAAACAGTATGTTACAGTGATCCTCTTTTCAGCTGATTTGCTGAAAGCTCTCAGGAACGTATCCTGAGTGAATACCTTCTGATACAGCTTATCTTTTTATTTACAAGTCAAACAGGGAGGTACTACCGCCTGGGAAGTTATTGGAAGCATAATGTGTTGTCTAATGGTAGACCCTGCTGCCATATGGCATCACAAAAATTGGACCAAGTCCCAGGTTGCTGATGTGACTTTCTGCCTCATTTACACACAATTGCAGGGTCTCAATTGTTTCTCTTACTATTGCAAACATGTATATCATTTCTCACTCTTGATCTGTTTTATGTTTTCATGTCTGTATATATTTATGGTGCAAGTTATTTATGTATTTTATTATTATATTTCCACCCCCCAGGCCCGATATGGATCAATGACCCCTGCCCAGGCGGGTTAATTCCCATTTAAAAAAAGAGTACATTATGAGATAAAGTAAATGTCTGACCTGTCTCTGATGGCTAGGTTGATGCCATTAGTGGGACACTTCCTGAGTATGTCATGAACCTTCTCCATGGAGTAGCCAGCCACTGTTTCACCGTTGATCTGCAAGATCTGGTCTCCAAAGCGTAGTCCTGAGAACACCACAACATTACCGTACAGTTTCCACACCAAAGATCACTTACTTTCAAATGACAACAGTCAATGTACAGTCGTGCCCTACAGGCATAAATAACAAAATACACAAAGCTAATTAACAAATCAATTTAGGTAAAAGAAGCATTACAATGTCTCATCTACACTGTAATACATTCTCTATCTGATGTGACCAGCTGGTAAGTTAACAAACAAGATAAAAAAATTAATGAATTTCATTGCATAAAGTCATCAGTGACAATAAATTTTTTGCACATGTGAACAACAAGAGTTAAAACTGACCAGCAAGAGCAGCAGGAGAATTCTTCTTCACAAGGCACACAAACACTCCCTTGTTGATAGACTTAACACGCATACCCACTTTACTTTCAGCATCCTTGCAGACCGTCACCTAGGGAGATCAATACCTCACATCAGGGCTTCCTTTGTTTACCATAATGAAAACTAATTACAACAACAAATTCATCAAATATAAAACAAAAAAATTAGTATAGTAATGTATTAAAACTTTTAACAGTGATCCACCTTGTGTGTGATAACCTCCATGTTTTACTCCACCCTTATAACAGTGATCCACCTTGTGTGTGATAACCTCCATGTTTTACTCCACCCTTATAACAGTGTTCCACCTTGTGTGTGATAACCTCCATGTTTTACTCCACCCTCATAACAGTGTTCCTCCTTGTGTGTGATAACCTCCATGTTTTACTCCACCCTCATAACAGTGTTCCACCTTGTGTGTGATAACCTCCATGTTTTACTCCACCCTTATAACAGTGTTCCACCTTGTGTGTGATAACCTCCATGTTTTACTCCACCCTCATAACAGTGTTCCTCCTTGTGTGTGATAACCTCCATGTTTTACTCCACCCTCATAACAGTGTTCCTCCTTGTGTGTGATAACCTCCATGTTTTATAACTCCACCCTCATAACAGTGTTCCACCTTGTGTGTGATAACCTCCATGTTTTACTCCACCCTCATAACAGTGTTCCTCCTTGTGTGTGATAACCTCCATGTTTTACTCCACCCTCATAACAGTGTTCCACCTTGTGTGTGATAACCTCCATGTTTTACTCCACCCTCATAACAGTGTTCCTCCTTGTGTGTGATAACCTCCATGTTTTACTCCACCCTCATAACAGTGTTCCACCTTGTGTGTGATAACCTCCATGTTTTACTCCACCCTCATAACAGTGTTCCTCCTTGTGTGTGATAACCTCCATGTTTTACTCCACCCTCATAACAGTGTTCCTCCTTGTGTGTGATAACCTCCATGTTTTACTCCACCCTCATAACAGTGTTCCACCTTGTGTGTGATAACCTCCATGTTTTACTCCACCCTCATAACAGTGTTCCTCCTTGTGTGTGATAACCTCCATGTTTTACTCCACCCTCATAACAGTGTTCCTCCTTGTGTGTGATAACCTCCATGTTTTACTCCACCCTGTTCATAACAGTGTTCCACCTGTGATGTGTGTGTGATAACCTCCATGTTTTACAGTGTTCCATAACCTCCATGTTTTACTCCACCCTCATAACAGTGTTCCTCCTTGTGTGTGATAACCTCCATGTTTTACTCCACCCTCATAACAGTGTTCCTCCTTGTGTGTGATAACCTCCATGTTTTACTCCACCCTCATAACAGTGTTCCACCTTGTGTGTGATAACCTCCATGTTTTACTCCACCCTCATAACAGTGTTCCACCTTGTGTGTGATAACCTCCATGTTTTACTCCACCCTTATAACAGTGTTCCTCCTTGTGTGTGATAACCTCCATGTTTTACTCCACCCTTATAACAGTGTTCCTCCTTGTGTGTGATAACCTCCATGTTTTACTCCACCCTTATAACAGTGTGTGTGTGATAACCTCCATGTTTTACTCCACCCTTATAACAGTGTTCCACCTTGTGTGTGATAACCTCCATGTTTTACTCCACCCTCATAACAGTGTTCCACCTTGTGTGTGATAACCTCCATGTTTTACTCCACCCTTATAACAGTGTTCCTCCTTGTGTGTGATAACCTCCATGTTTTACTCCACCCTTATAACAGTGTTCCACCTTGTGTGTGATAACCTCCATGTTTTACTCCACCCTTATAACAGTGTTCCTCCTTGTGTGTGATAACCTCCATGTTTTACTCCACCCTTATAACAGTGTTCCTCCTTGTGTGTGATAACCTCCATGTTTTACTCCACCCTTATAACAGTGTTCCTCCTTGTGTGTGATAACCTCCGTGTTTTATTCCTATTTTTCTTACTTCACCTACTAACCAAATCTACAACTCAGAAAACACTACTTAGCTTTACTACAGTTGTGAACAAATTACTTAAGTATTCTTGCCTTCATTTATACAGTAAAGTGCTTGAACTTGCATCTTATTCTAGCAACTTATTGCCACTTTTACCCAAACAAGATAATTTTCCCAGCCCAATAAAATCCAATTGTTAAAAATTTCATCATAATTCATAGCTCAAGTCTACCATGATATTTGGTATACCCTTCAACGTTAACACAACTTCACAGGCATATACTTCACAGAAAACACATTCCCATTGTTATGAAACTTAAATCTTAAATAAAATCAGTTGAGTCTGAGCAAACTTGATATTAAAACACAAATGTGGGAGACACAACCATGAGTTTAGGAGGGGGGGGTGTGTGAGAGGAGAGGGGGCATCACTACAAGCAATAAGAACAATATTCCAATAATACATGAATCAAATTATAATTATTTCATCAGACAATATGTCAAGGAGGACAATGATAAAAGCTGAATTCTTGGACTTAATTTGCAGTATGACGTGTAGCATGTCCAGAAGAATAATGTGGTCTACGTATGGGTTACTATGTGGACTACCAGAGTGATTATAAACATTCTGGATGTCTTGCCGTTTCATACATAAGTGACACAGTTTACTACCACTGACCCATGAAAAGTGTATCAACAGAAATAGACAGACAGACAGGCACACTGTACAGTCACTCAAAAAACCATCTTTACAAAATTGTGTTGAACAAATAGGACAACGAACGAAGGATTTTGACAACCCTTCCGAGACAACAGCAGAGATAGTTTTTTGGGTGACTGTACATCCAACTTCATGTTCTCTGTGTATGTACTGTAAGTTTGTTCAACACAATCTCAAAAAATTAAAAATCTTTGGCCATCTGAAAAACTGACACTCATAATACCTGTCCATACACTTAACCTAAAGTTGTCCTAAAAGTTACAAGCAATCGAAGAAATCTCTGAAGTGCCTCAATACTCCTTTTGGTGAGGAAATGAATCGGTCTCTCTTTTGGATGTTTCAAAATATATCCCATCACCTTTTATATTCATACTACAGTAAAACCTCGCTTAACCGCCCACATATGGGGGGAAGAGGCCGACGGATACCGTAATCCAAAAGGTCGGTTAATAGTACATAAATTCTACGGAAATAAAACATACATTTTTAAAGTACCTTTCCCTAACCTACCTCATTTAAGTCCCTCTATTCATTTTTGTTCATTTGCCATTCATATTTCAATAGCATTTACTTTAAAACATTAACCACTTTAGCACTATATGCACTGAGTAAACAAACATTTATTTAATCTTAGCACTACTGTATATGCACTGGGATATGGAAAAATCAAATACCATCGATTTTCCAATTTTTTATTTTATTGCCGATTTATTTATTTATTTTAGGGGTCTGGGATCGGTTGTTAATCCGAAAGTCGGTTAATCGAGGGTCGGTTGATATAGGTTTTACCGTATACTATATACAGGTACTCCCCGACTTGCGACCACCCGCACTTACGACCTGCCTCAGTCGTACCAAAATTTGGTCAAATTACGTATTTTTGAGTCCCAAAGTTAGTACACAGACAAAATTTTCATCTGTAATTCACTTTAAAATGGCTGGCAAGCTTAAAAGTGAGTGTTTTGTGGTGCTGAGAAGAAAGAGACACCCATTTTCGATTTTTTATGTGTTATTTAAGCATTTCCGACCTACGACCATTTTGACTTACGACCTGGATGTCAGTCCCTAACCCGTCGTAAGTCGGGGAGTACAGGTAGTTCTGCTATAACGCGATAATTGTGTTCTTGTAAAATATCGTGTTATAGAAAATCGCGTAATAGAAATAACAGGGCTTATGGAGAAAATAGGGTTAGGTGCAGATTACTCGAAATCGAAAAAATTTAGTAGTTAGCCTAACACAAAGGATAGCACAGTCTAAATAAATGTTACATTCATATCTAATAATGAAATCATACAGTAAATTTAACACTTTACCTTGAAAAAATATGAATGTAACTTGATGGGGGAGAAGGGTGATTTTGAGGTTGATAACATCAAGCTTCTCTTCAAGTGTTATATCCTTTCTTTTACGATAATCACCGGGAATTCTATCATCAGAATGCTTTTTGGAGATATTCTTCTTTACCATATTCACAGTTAATACCACAAAATTGGAGAAATAGTAAGCAAAAATCGCGTTATAGCAAACAAGCGATCGCGTTATACAAATATTGTTCCGAATTCATAAATCGCGTTAGAGCAAATTCGCGTTATCAAAACACGCGTTATAGCAGAACTCACTGTACCTGTAATCTTTGTCTCTGACCTATTCTATTCATTTCTCCTAGATGTTAACATAAACCTACAGCTATATCGGCATTATCTTCACTACTTTAACTACAAATGTAAACACAACAACAATGCATTACAGATCTGTACCAAAAAAAAATAAAATAAAATAATAATAATACGATCAAGGTCAAATGATACGACCTTAGATGAAGCAGAAGCAGCAGACAAGGCCAAGAAGCTGCAGCACCTACTCTACCTTCCTCAGTGCATGAAGCCGGTGAGCACAAGTTTTTACCGTGAGAAAGTGACAGATACGGGACTACCTACTGTTAACAATGAAGGTATTGGTAGTACAGTAGTGTGAGACTGGTGTATATAAAGCAACTTCTTATCTAACAATTCCAATATCTGTTAACTGTAAAGATATACGTATGAACAATGTATGTATGTATGTAATCCCATACCATAAAAATACTGTACTAAAACAATTAATAAATATGATTCAGAGTTCAGTACAAGACAATGAATATTCAGTAAATTCCTGTAAGAGAATTGTTGATGGTTAATGTATCAAGGACATGCCATGTTAACTTAAGTCATGCACTATCTATTCCTCTGTTAAGCCATGTACTCTACTATGCACTTGTTAACAATTACCTTTAAGGAATGAGGGATTATGACACCAAAGCACATAGGAAGTATGTATGCTATAAAAAGAAGTTAAACGAATAAGGACAAAAATATTTCTAAAAATACATTATTATAAATTTTTTTTATTCTAAATTAAATCTAACAAGTTCCAAAATTAAAACAATATAAGACAATTAAAAATATTGCACTGAAAAAAGAGCACGTGTAAGAACTTACCTCTCTGATGCTGTTAGTGACCTGAGCTCTATAGAGGCCAACAGAAGACCCTGACAGAGGTGCCACAATACCAGAAGGCATCACAGATGGGGCAATACTCACAGCACTCTGTAAGAATACAGTAAGTATACTCTTATAGCTACACTCACAACACAACATATACTACTACTACTGTACCCGCACATCGTCAACTCCTACTTACATTCATTCATATGATCTAATGTTTCCAAGTGTTATTTCCTTTATACAGTAAAAATATCAAATAGATTATACAGTTCTTGTATATTTTGATAAAAAAACAGAATAAATTATAAATGGAAAAAAGAAAACCCAAACCAAATGTGGATAACTTTAACCTGGTCAATGATTACTGATAGTTGTGTTCAAAACTCACAATAAGGATTTATTTTATTCTTTTATTAGCTACAACAGAAGAACTAAACCTTTAAAGGCTGGATGTGTTCATCAGTAGAACAAGGAGCATCACATGAAAGGAAACCTAACATACAAATCCTCAGGTCCATTTCAGTTTGCTAGACTGTAACAAGAAAGTTGATCTCAAATATAAGTAAGACCTGGGATATATCAGTAACTAGTTTGAAATGTTAAGTGAGGTGGGACAGTTCTCCTTCACAGTTACTCACAGTGAACAAAATGTGTCAACGGCTGTGTGCAGTCAATGTTGAATCGCCTAGCATTATGAGTTTTATTAAGAGGTCAGATAAACCAGAGTGCAAAAAATAAGTTCATCAGTCATCCGAGTCCAAGTAAACATTATCTTATATAAATAATTCTTACAGGTTGTGGTGTAGCGACTGGGAGGTATTCTGGCATGTTGGCAGCAATTACATCAGCTGTGAACTCCAACCCCATGTAGTCATCAAGGGCAGGGTATAAGAGGGCCAGGCCAGGCTGCAAAAAGAAACATGGAGGTAACTTCCAACTTTACCCACACCAGCAAACTCTTATGAAGCAACAATTTTCTAATACCACAATCAAGTTTTTCAAATACAGTACAGTGATATCTCCATTAGCCGCAACAATTGGTGCAGAGCACTTCCGGGAATGAGAGATTTCCAGGTAACGAGACGACTCTCTCAAGGCCAGAAAAACTCTCATCCCTGGAATTTTCTGGGTATCGAAAAAATTTTCTTAGAATTTTCCCCCAAAATATGCCCCTTGGGAAAGATTTTCCAGAAACTATTGAATCCGTCTGTCTGAGAGTTGTGGTTAAGAGGGCTTATGGCTAACGAGATATTACTACTGTTAATTTATATCTTCTACAACAATGTCTTTGGTGTGTGTGTGTTTTTGCTGAACATAGTCATAAATATCCCCTGTAGTTGTTAATAATGAATCTGACACTTTCCTGCAAAACTTATAAGTGATTTAATTAAATTATATGGAATTTTTGTACTCCGCAGGTTTTGGCCGAATAGAGAACAATCGCGTTCAACCTGACGGGTCCCACATTCGCCCGACGGGCTGTTGAAGTCTTAATACAGTATTACAGAAGTCCTTTACAAAGGATCATCTTTATACTAATTACTCCACAGTTTGATACCAAACATAATAAATAACCTGAACTGTGGTACTGTACCTTGGGCTGGGCCTGAGGGGGGTGGAGGGGGTAGGGGGGTGGAGCATCATGTACTGGAGGGGCCGTGGCAAGAGGGCCACCCTGTGATGCTGTCATCTCACTCACCAGCTGGGCTTGTGCCTGTAACATTACAATAATTAAATTACACAACACAAATAATTATGATTATGGTCACAAACTATCCATACAAAATGCACTAATGTGCAGTCCCCCTAAATAAGTATTGTTAGCATGAGGTCGATGTGATTCAAGGTTTTTCTGAGCTATGTTAGTCCAACTGTTTTTGAAGGCTAGGCTGGGTAGATCTATTTTTGCAACGTTGAGCATGAATGAGTAACCGAGTACAGTATACGTTTTTGAACGATACATACATAAATATACGGTAGCTTTATGGGCTTCTTCTTACAGTGAAGTATTTAGTATACCATACAAGGATGACTCCCCCACCCCCCTATCTCCAGCTGTTGCTGATATGGCCAGCAGGCCTTATGATGATGTAATAGGAATCATATCAAAGCATCTCAAAGTGTAGCGACAGAATATCTAACGATACTGTCTCGGGGTACAGTACAACCATTCACATACTGACAGATGGGTCCTGATCAACTTTCTTGTCCACACTTGCCTGGGTTTGCCAAGGTACCCAACTCCAATGTCATTTCTTACAACCTCTCTCCCTGGCTCTCCACACTACTATACTGCTCCTCTTGACCCAATTGATCTCAACATATCCAAACCGTCTCCGCAGAACTTTGCCAACAGCGTCAGTATCTAGCTGCTCTCTTCCCTCTGAACAGGGCTTCCTGCCTTTCAATATCACATAATATATCCATCTCAACATTCCAGGGTTTTCACATAAATCATAATTTTATACAATTCTTTTCTAGTTTTCCATGGTTGGTGTTTTCCATGGTTGGTGTTTTCCATGGTTGGTGTTTTCCATGGTTGGTGTTTTCCATGGTTGGTAAGTTGTTCAAAATCTTCCATGACTATTACAATAGTTTCATAACTTTTCCAGGATTTTCAATGACTGTGGGAACCCAGAATAGTGTAATGTAGACAACTCAGTCTATCAAGAAATGGTGAAAAGGCTGAAAGTTGACAAAATATATCAACAACAACATTTTATGACCCTTTTCCAAGCTTGCATGGGTCAGCCGACGGCAGTTCTCCCACCAGCCTCTCGGCATCTCTTACAACAGCAGCTCTACCTGCGTCTCTTAACACATTGTCGACTCCGTATGTGATAAACTACGGTACAGTATTTCACATTTTTATGATCTAGTGCATCATGGCTTTATTCTTTAGCCAATCTACTCTCTTAACTCTTGCATTACTGTATGTATACAGTACAGTAATGGCATCCCTCACTATTTGAACGTTTCAGATACAGAAATTCGCCCTCTCCTTACCAGGTTAAGGTGTGGGCTGTGTTATGGTTGTTTTGCAACTCATAATTTTGGGTAGTTAAACATACTGCATTTTATGGCATATAAGACACATTCCTAAGGCTTCTGAGACACCCTGTACAAGATACTAGTTGGGGCCAAGTACAAGATAATGGTTGGGGCCAAGTACAAGATACTAGTTGGGGCCATGTTCATGATAATGGTTGGGGCCCCCATTCCTAAGACAACCCTCCCATAGTGCCCAGTCCCTCACCCACACATATTCCCGATTTTCTGAGAACACCGTCTCGATAAAAGATAATTCAGGAAGGTAAATCAGTATCAGTTGCTAAGTTTTTAAAGACAGAAACAACCAAAGGCCAGACTTTCTGGTGCCTGATGGCTCAAACACGCTCACCTCCAGTTGTGAGATGCACACACCACATTGGAATTGAAATATGAATCCCACTAAACAATACAGTATTGTACTCAGGAGGCCCCTAAGTGATGGGGGCTGCACCTACTGCACATTGATGGAGCCGGCCCTGCACACCCCCACTGCAGCAGGGAATATTTCAGAAAAACTTTTGTGTGTATTTTCCTCCTGTAGTCATAATTTTCTTAAAATACTATCAGTGGTAAAAAGTACCAGACTTTGTTAATTAAGTAAAAGTATTGTTACAATGGCAAAATGTTACTCAGGTAGAAGTAAAAAAGTATCTTACTCAAGTTCTAAAATTAAAAAGTAACAACAAAATTATTAATCATCTCATATGTAAAAATAAATACTAAATAAATTATAAAAGACTCGTTAGCTAAACATTACACAAGTTTATTCGCAAATCTTTCTATTAAGATTAATCAATAACTGATTCTCAAAATTATGGCTGTCCAATCAGGATCTTTTAGGCCTAAATATAAGCCCATCGTGACCTACCCAAAGAGAATACGTTCAGCCGCTCTTCTCCCTACAATCCACCGCAGGGATGGTGAACGGGCTGAAATTATATCCATCCAGCACTATGATCACTTTCTTCCTTATCCACACAAGTATTGTCAACGTGGACTTATGGTCCAGACATAATGTTGTCTCTGCTCGCCTTAGGTGAGGATACAGACCTATCTGAGGTGGGGGATGACCTGCACTTCTCTTCCTGTAAACTGTCCCAACACTAACACCCATCAACACTATTGTCTTGACTGTCAGGGACCTCCTACCACAGGGAGAGTCACTGACCACTGTATGTCACCACCTACTATTTTGTAATAATTTAGATCTAATTATTGTCCACTACCCACACTTTGGTGGGTGCTAACTCCCCTTGTCCTTAAATCATATCAATATTGTCTCCATATCACAAGTCACAGCGTGTCCTGCAAGACACGAGTACCGTACCAATGTATTAGTGTCTGACCGCAGGGTCATGTGACTGGGCTTGTCGCCCCCTTAGGTGTAATAAATTATTTAAATAATAAATATTAAGCCCAGTATGACTAAACAGACACTCACAGGCAGCAGATGCAGGTAGTGGGGTGTTAAGCTTCAGAGATAAGTCACATAATGTCAGGAAAGACCTCAGTAGCTCCATTCCACCCCCTGGGCGTGCCAAGCAGCTATCAAGCTCAGTTAAGGAGTTTGTGGATGATTGTTGCCTCCATAGTGACCGAGTCTGACTAAGACTCACCCTCAACTGTCCCTCTAACTGGGGCGTGGCTGTGGTCATGTCACTTTTTTATTCTAATTGATGAGTGGCTGAATTTTTCTCACCACATAACATTGGTGGGTGTTGGGGTAGTGGTGAATAGTTTAAATTTAGCAGAATTCTAAATACACTCATCACACATTTCTACAGACACTTTCCTTTATATCTAAGGCAAAATTATGTAGCGTCTTAGAATCACAACTCTTTGAAATTCATTTTTGGGTACAGGTATATGAAAAGAGCAACTGATGTCTACAGGAAGACCAAGCCCCTGAAGGAAGGAGGGGGGCAAGGCAAGGCTGGGTGAGGTGGGTGGTCAAGGTGCTAATGGACACAAGAAGATCAAAGGGTAAGTCCACTGTCATGGCCACTGCCAACTGACCTGAAGTCACCTCACCTCACAAGACCTCTAGGTATGTGACTGCGTGGTGTCTCCCCACACCATACCCTCCACCCACACAACTATGGTTAACAATTACAGCTCCACCCGACTTACGACCTGCCTCAGTCGTACCCAAATTTTGTCAAATTACGTAATTTCGAGTCCCAACGTCAGTACAGACAAAATTTTTGTTTGTAATTCACTTTAAAATGGCTGGCAAGCTTAAAAGTGAGAGTTTTGTGGTGCTGAGAAGAAAAAGAGACACCCATTTTCGATTTTTTATGTATTATTTAAGCATTTTCGACTTAAGTCCTGGATTTGGGTCCCTAACCCCGTCGTAAGTCGGGGAGGAGCTGTAATTAGTTACTGTATTTAAAAAATATATTAGTAGTTTGCATGTAACGATTTTTTATTTTGGTGGTTTATGTTTTGTTGTTGTTGTTCATGAACTGATTTCATGTTTTGGGAGTTTTCTTGTCATTAGGAAACTGAACCTTATTTTTCCCATATGTTCACTTATCAAATGGTTTCCTGGGACCTAAACCATTCATATAGCGAGGAATACCTGTATAGTGTAGAGCTCTCTGGGTCACAGTACAATACAGTGCAGGCCCAGTACTAATGTATTCAGATCTACAATGAAAGATGTGAAAATGCTAAGAATAATCACAGCCACAAACTCTGACAATAATTTCAACAATATATTGATACACTGTTAATGAAATACATCCACATTTTATAAAACAAAAAAAAATATTAAATCTGTTTAAAGAGATATTAACCATTTTAACTTGGACGAAATAAAATTATACAGCAAGAGTTTACAATGGCTGCACCTGCACAGTCCTGCCACCCTTGAACATGGTAAATATACAGTGGTCCCTCGGTTAACGAACACTTTGAGGTGTGTATGTAGAAGGTTCCTGGTTGATGATGATGGGAATTAGAAGTGGGAGTGGAGGAGAAGAGAAGAGAAGGAAGTGGGGATGGAAGAGAAATCACCAATAAAATTTTAAGTTCACTAGGTGTAATTCAAGATTATTTTATTTAAATCAACACTGCACTGCACTATATATTATCAATATGTTCAATAAATTTCAAATGACCAATAATTTCAATGAAAAATGCAAAAATATTCAAGACACCAACAAAATAGATGTTCACTCCACTGTCAACAAAGCCCAACTGATGCCTTGTGGCTGAGTCAAGCTGCTGATGGGCGCACAAAAAACTAGTTCCCTGTACAGTACTGCATATATTATCAATATCTTAAATAAATGTTAAAATCACTAATAATTTTAATATAAAAAATATTAAAGAGCACAACTTTATTGATATTTACTTCACTGGAAACAAATGTAAACATAGAACAGATTACTGAATTGGCGGACTGGCCCAGCAGCTGATGCACACAACAAAACGTGATGTTCGTAAGGATTTCGTTAATCAAATTTTTGTTCGTTACCAAAATGAAGATTCTTATGGAAGGTAATTTGTTAACCGAACCGTTCGTTAACCGAGGGACCACTGTAGTGTAATATATATACATGATACATAACATACTATTTAATGCAATACTGGTTGATGGTAAAATATATTTGATGTTTAAGAAGGGACTAAAGCGTACTTACTCTGCCCAACTGGTCCACCTTCATGTCCTCCAGAGACGGGTAAAGACTCATTGTGATCTGCAACATAACAGTACAGTATATTATATCCATAGTTAACTCACACTTAAAACTCTACTGTACATATGGCAGCTATACAGTTCAGTATACTGTACATATGGTAGCTATACAGTTCAGTATACTGTACATATGGCAGCTATACAGTTCAGTATACTGTACATATGGTAGCTATACAGTTCAGTATACTGTACATGTGGCAGCTATACAGTTCAGTATACTGTACATATGGTAGCTATACAGTTCAGTATACTGTACATATGGCAGCTATACAGTTCAGCATACTCTACTGTACACCTGGCAACTATACAGTTCAGCATACTCTACTGTACATATGGCAGCTATACAGTTCAGCATACTCTACTGTACATATGGCAGCTATACAGTTCAGCATGCTCTACTGTACATATGGCAGCTATACAGTTCAGACTGCTCTACTGTACACCTGGCAACTATACAGTTCAGCATACTCTACTGTACATATGGCAGCTATACAGTTCAGCATGCTCTACTGTACATATGGCAGCTATACAGTTCAGTATACTGTACATATGGTAGCTATACAGTTCAGTATACTGTACATATGGCAGCTATACAGTTCAACATACTCTACTGTACACCTGGCAACTATACAGTTCAGCATACTCTACTGTACATATGGCAGCTATACAGTTCAGCATACTCTACTGTACATATGGCAGCTATACAGTTCAGCATGCTCTACTGTACATATGGCAGCTATACAGTTCAGCATGCTCTACTGTACATATGGCAGCTATACAGTTCAGCATACTCTACTGTACATATGGCAGCTATACAGTTCAGCATGCTCTACTGTACATATGGCAGCTATACAGTTCAGCATACTCTACTGTACATATGGCAGCTATACAGTTCAGCATGCTCTACTGTACATATGGCAGCTATACAGTTCAGCATGCTCTACTGTACACCTGGCAGCTATACAGTTCAGCATGCTCTACTGTACATATGGCAGCTATACAGTTCAGCATACTCTACTGTACATATGGCAGCTATACAGTTCAGCATACTCTACTGTACATATGGCAGCTATGCAGTTCAGCATACTCTACTGTACATATGGCAGCTATACAGTTCAGCATACTCTACTGTACATATGGCAGCTATACAGTTCAGCATACTCTACTGTACATATGGTAACTATACAGTTCAGCATGCTCTACTGTACACCTGGCAGCTATACAGTTCAGCATGCTCTACTGTACATATGGTAACTATACAGTTCAGCATGCTCTACTGTACACCTGGCAGCTATACAGTTCAGCATACTTTACTGTACATATGGCAGCTATACAGTTCAGCATACTCTACTGTACATATGGCAGCTATACAGTTCAGCATACTCTAGTGTACATATGGCAGCTATACAGTTCAGCATGCTCTACTGTACATATGGCAGCTATACAGTTCAGCATGCTCTACTGTACATATGGCAGCTATACAGTTCAGCATACTCTACTGTACATATGGTAGCTATACAGTTCAGCATACTCTACTGTACATATGGCAGCTATACAGTTCAGCATGCTCTACTGTACATATGGCAGCTATACAGTTCAGCATGCTCTACTGTACATATGGTAGCTATACAGTTCAGCATGCTCTACTGTACATATGGCAGCTATACAGTTCAGCATACTCTACTGTACATATGGCAGCTATACAGTTCAGCATACTCTACTGTACATATGGCAGCTATACAGTTCAGCATACTCTACTGTACATATGGCAGCTATACAGTTCAGCATGCTCTGCACCATGGCACTTCTCCACAGTTCAGCGCTCTACCAGCCGCATATGGCGTTCAGCATACTCTGCTGTACATATGGCGGCTGCACAGTTCAGCATGCTCTACTGTACATATGGCAGCTATACAGTTCAGCATACTCTACTGTACATATGGCAGCTATACAGTTCAGCATACTCTACTGTACATATGGCAGCTATACAGTTCAGCATGCTCTACTGTACATATGGCAGCTATACAGTTCAGCATACTCTACTGTACATATGGCAGCTATACAGTTCAGCATGCTCTACTGTACACCTGGCAGCTATACAGTTCAGCCTGCTCTACTGTACATATAGCAGCTATATAGTTCAGCATGCTCTACTGTACATATAGCAGCTATACAGTTCAGCATGCTCTACTGTACACATAGCAGCTTCTTACAGTTCAGCATATACTCTACCTGCCATATAGCACTTCCTGCAGTTCAGCATGCTCTACTGTATACGCCTTCTGCAGTTCAGCATACTCTGCTGGCATATGGCAGCTATACAGTTCACTCTACTGTATGGCAGCCCTATACAGTTCCAGCATACTCTACTGTGCCTCAGTTTCAGCATGCTCTACTGTACCTGGCAGCTTCTCTGATTCAGCATATACTGTACATATAGCGCTATACAGTTCAGCATGCTCTGTGCATATAGCAGCTATACAGTTCAGCATGCTCTACTGTACACACATGGCAGCTATGCAGTTCAGCATGTACTCTACTGTACATATGCATGGCCTTTATCACAGTTCAGCGTATACTGCTGTACGCCATAGCGCTTCTGCAGTTCAGCATACTCTGCTGTACATATGGCAGCTATACAGTTCAGCATACTCTGCAGCACGCCGTAAGCTATACAGTTCAGCATACTCTATAGCACGCCAGCAGCTATGCAGTTCAGCATGCTCTACTGTACATATGGCAGCTCCCAGTTCGGCATGCTCTGCTGTGCACCTGGCAGCCTGCAGTTCGGCATGCTCTACTGTACATATGGCAGCTATGCAGTTCCAGCATGCTCTACTGTACACCTGGCAGCTATACGGTTCAGCATGTCTGCTGTACGCGCATGGCAGCTTCATACAGTTCGGCATGCTCTGCTGTGCATATGGCGGCTATACAGTTCAGCATACTCTGCCTGGCCATATGGCGGCTATACAGTTCAGCGCCGCCACTGTGCATATGGCGGCTATGCAGTTCGGCATGCTCTACCATACGGCGGCTATACGGTTCAGCATGCTCTGCTGTACGCTATGGCAGCTATACAGTTCGCGTATCTACTGTACATATGGCAGCTATACAGTTCAGCATGCTCTACCTTCACATGTAAGCCCTGCGGTTCAGCATGCTCTGCACCAGCGCACATGGCAGCTATGCAGTTCGGCATGCTCTGCTGTACATATAGCGCTTCGCCACAGTTCGGCATGCTCTGCACCATGCACCAGCATTGCAGTTCGGCATGCTCTGCAGCGCATATGGCAGCTATGCAGTTCATGCTCTGCTGTACATATGGCGGCTATACAGTTCAGCATACTTTCTACTGTACATGGCGGCTATACGGTTCAGCATGCTCTACTGTGCATATGGCGGCTATACCGGTTCAGCATGCTCTACTGTGCATATGGCAGCTATGCAGTTCGGCATACTCTGCACTGGCCATATGGCAGCTATACGGTTCGGCATATGCAGCACGCGCTCGCTATACAGTTCAGCATGCTCTACTGCCGCATATGGCAGCTATATACAGTTCAGCATGCTCTGCTGTACACATGGCACGGCTATACCAGTTCAGCATGCTCTACCAGCACATGGCAGCTATACAGTTCAGCATGCTCTGCACTGTACACCTGGCACATATACAGTTCCCAGCAGCACTCTACTGTACATATGGCAGCCTGCAGTTCGGCATGTACCACTGTACACTCAGCAGCTATGCAGTTCAGCATGTCTACTGTAGCACACATGGCAGCTATACAGTTAATGCTCTGCACAGCTTCATATAGCTAACACAGTTCATGCTCTACTGTACATATGGCAGCTATACAGTTCAGCATGCTCTACTGTACACCTGGCAGCTATACAGTTCAGCCTGCTCTAAGATGCGCTATTAAGTCAACACCACAATACTGTATTAAAGTGTTGTGATTATATGGAACACCACAACCTCCCACAAGACACCCACAACAACCACCACCTACAACACATACACAACTAGCCTCTAAGATCTAAGCACATGGCATCACAGGCAAGATTTTAAAGTGGATTAGCAACTGGCTCCAAGACGGGCAACAAAGAGTGGTAATAATGGAATACATTCTGAATTGAAAAAGGTTCACAGTGGAGTACCACAAGGCTCTATCCTTGGACCACCCTGTTTGTGATCTATATAAATGATATACCGGTAGATGAAAATATATTGAGCCACAATGTCAAGTCTGTGGATGACACGAATATATTTGGGAAGGTAGCAAGTCAGGACAATGTGGCAACAATGCAGAGAAGGGCAAATGCTCTTTAACATTACAAAATGTAAGACCCTACATGTAGGATACAACAACCCTAATCAACACTATTCTGTTATTAACACTCCCAAATGTCGATAAGAAGAGGGATCTAGGCATAGTGATAGACCATTCCCTGAAGGCGGGACAACAAGTGAGAAAAACAAATCAATATTTGAGAATTCTAAAAGGTTCCTTCATATACAAAGAGAGGAGAATGCTCCTTCAACTGTACAAATCTCATGTGTTGTACATTCCAGTCTGGATTACTGTATAGGAATGGAAACTTTACCTCCAACAAGACCTAACATCCCTAGAACAGGTGCAACACAGAGCAACCAAGAGGATTCTGGGACTATGTCATCTAGATTATCCAAGTAGATTGAGGGCCTTAAGACTAACAACCCAATTGGACAGATCTCATTGAAACATTCAAAATCCTGAAAGGGATGGAAAAAGTGAACCCGGGCCATTTCTCTGTGATGTCATGCACCAACAACACCTGTGATCAATCCATGGCGACCAGTGTACAGTATTTGATGAGTGGCAGGGAAACACAGGGTTGAGCTCACTCTATTTATTTCTCTAATGTTTGGGGCTACACAGAGCCAATCACCAGAGAATACAACAAGTACCCCGGATGCACCTCACCTCTTCATGTGTTGGGGCCCGATTGACTGTCATTTACCTGACCCAACTACCTCACTGCACAGCATCAATGCTAGATCCACTGCATGCTTCAACCAGCACATAAAACCCTCCCTATTGTTCGTACAGCACTGTACTTGTATGCATCTGGAGGCAGGTGGCTGGCAGCTTCAACATCAACCACCCATTCTCAGTCAAGCTGATTGTGAACTCGGTCACTCTGGGACCTCCAGTCCTCGACCACTTTCACATCTTTATTCCTCAATTACTCGTAAATTTAAATAAGATTGCAATTTTTTCAAATACCAAAAAGGAATATCTTGTACAGTATTACAATATTACTAATTTACCAGAAATAAAGTTCTGTATATGTACTGCATTATATAAAGTACTGTACAGTATTGGTGTACCGTATATAAATTGTCCTCAAACATATGCCTTCTTGCAGCTCCACACAGCTCCACACTCAAAATCATATTCAGTACAGTATAATCAAATACAGTAATCATATAATCAATACTTTATCTCACCCTGTATTAATAATCAAATAAGGTAATCATATTATTAATCATAATCAAAATTTATCATGACTTTTATTCAAAATTAAATCGATCCACTTTTTAACGATTTTAATTTCGAATAAGCCCGAACTGGGTCATTGACTGGCCTGGGAGATATGAATAATAATTAAAAATAAATGACAAATAGAAAAGGAAAAGGTTATATTAATCTACACCATAATCAACATTTATTGTGGCTATTAATCATAATCAAATGGTGTAATCAGCCTCAGGTCTGACACAATGATGCTACGCAGTGATTTAAATGTATATTTATTTTACCACAGAGCGATACTGTAAGTCAAGAGATGGTATACCGGGGATGCCTGTACTGTACAGTACTGTAAGTACAAGATGCAGTAATCATCATTTTCAGAGTCTTAACTAAGAACTACTTAAGGAAACAGAAATTCTATTCTTCAAGTCACACTCGGATAGGAATCATAAAGAGTCACAGTAAAAAGACGTGTCAGTCCTCCGTCTGAGCCATGAACTGAGACTTGTGAGCCCCAGAGTCACAGGTTGGAGGAGTGACATGACTTCTTAACATGACTGCACCAACATCTACCTACAATACCAACATGGCAGCTGCCAGGGTGCATCAAAGTTACTTTTCTAATCACATATATCGATTTGTTTTTGCAACAAAAGTTTTGTGAATTATTCGTACTTTGTTTTTGTAAAGTTGTGGACAAAAAGAAAACAGCAGGGAGGGAGGGAGGGAGGGAGGGAGGGAGGGCAGTGGGTGGACATAAAGGTGTGACAGTTAAGTCAACAATTTTCATTTATCACCACAAGTAGATTTTCTTAGTTTAAATATGATTCAGGTGCAGCTACAGTAACAGTGTGCTGTAACAACCTTAATACTGTTCTGTACACCAAAACAACCATAATAATGCCGTCAATGTTTGAGGAGACTTTTCACTGGCACCCCGCTGCTGTAGTGCCAAGTCTTCACCTCCAGTACACCTCCTACCTCCCTCCTGAAGTCTATTTGTCCCACACAGCTTGTAGATAGAGGGGATTATTGTAAAAGTGATAACAGAGGCATAATGAAGTCTGATCTAAGTCTTCCACCCTGATAAGATAGAGGATAGTTTAGGCGTAGGTTATAAATTAAAAAAAAAATAAATTATGAAAACAGGTCTCGCATATAGAGCTTATACAGTACTGTGCTGTGTACAGTACATAGTGTAACCCTTCATTACTGAAATTCAACTTGCAACCCAAGATTAAATTCCTAATAATACTGCACAAGCCAAACTGTAAATCACTCAGGCTAGGACAGCACTACAGTGCTGCCCCCTACTGCAGCAACTTTCAATGGAAAAGCTGAGCAACTAATGTAAATCCACATACAGTACAGTGATCTTCCAGTTAGCTGGAATCCCTGGCCACCAGAACTCCCCAATAGGCAGAATGGACTTTGACCTACATGGGAGAACTCTCTCCATTCTGGGCATGGGAATGAGTTTCCACATTTTCAAGAAAATTTCAGAGAAAATCTCTCCAAACCTCTGTTCCGAGTATGGAAAAAAAATCCAGGAGTTTCGAGACATTGCATCGTGTTTCTGCACGTGCCAGTCGCATAGGTGGACTAACTGCTTGGGTAACTTAGGCTGTAAGCTAGTACACTTAGTTCATATTCCGCTGCCATTGTACATGGATGTTCCATACTAGTTGCAGTGTTTTTGTACAGTTTGTTTTGTGCAGTAAAATACCGGTCCAACGAATTACCCAAAAGTACCCAAAAGTATATTAAATCAGGGTAAAATCTTAACGAATATATGTTTTTTATCAATAAAACCTGATTAATAATGTTTTCATTGAAATGTAGTCAAAATAATGAAATAATAAACAGCGAAAAATGCTAAATTCCAAAGAGTTACCTATCCAAAATGGAGATATAATTACCGATGTTTCTGTTACTTTGGGGTATTTAACATAGCCGTAGGATTTACTTTTCGTTAGGTTAGGTTAGGTTAGCGAAGTGCATCACGATGGATCTGAGTTAGCGAAGTGCATCACGATGGATCTGAGTTATCTCCCTTGTTCACCAACTCTTTGGAATTTAGCGTTCGCCAATACTGAAAGTTTTTCGCTGTTTATTATTTCATCTTACAAATTATTTTTACAAAATTACACTAAAAATATTATTAAACATGTTTTGTGTATGTATAACAGATATTTGTTAAGATTTTACCCTTATTTGTTATACTTTTGGGTACTTTTGAGTAATTCGTGGCTCTCGTAAAATACAGTGCTATACATAACTGTACCAGGACACAATCAGCCAAGAATACAGTGTTGAGACATAAAAGTGATTACACTTTATGTATACTGTACAGAGCAGAGAGGACTGTATGGCTACTATAGGCTAATGTGTAGGTTTGGTAGTTAGGTGAGGAAAGGTCAGGGTGAATTGGTAGTTTTGGCCCCAACAACAGTTTGACCCTAATTTTTTGTTTTTCCCAAGGTAGTTGGTCTAATTCATATGAATTTGACCTTTATTTCTGTCTCAAATGAGTGGCTACCGAGTTATAACCCCTCCCCCACAAAATTGCTCTGATTTGGGACTGAAACTGCAAGGTTAGGTCAGGTTAGGTCAGGTTCTTCACACTTTCATTTTCATTTTCGTGTTCAGTATCATGCAAATATTATAGTACCTCCAGAAATTTATTAAATCCCATAAGTTATTTCTCGTGGTAACTTTACCAAAATACTGTAACTCTTCAGACTCAATAATGCTTTTTGTGGAATATCACTAGAATGTTTGTACATATTCAAACAAAAGTCTCAAGTGAAGAATTAAAACACTTACAATTTACTTAAAATTGTGGCAAGTACTGTACACTACAACTATAGGCAGTGATAAAAATATACAAGCAATGAGTTTTGTACTTTAGAGACATTCTGTTCAGTAACTGGTTAACCCAACAACCTTAGACAAATAACAGTAGAAATCTAAGTTAGTTCAAGTAAAAGTTTTAGTGTCAAACATACAAGTGAAGACGGGAGGATGGAGTATGAGGAACTGTTGCTGTACACCTGCTCCTTGTACTGACAGTGAGCAGTAAGTCGTAGTCACATAAACGTACATCACATGTCTATGACAGAGTAAGAACCATATCTATCGCTATCAACGCCTCCCTCCACCTCACTATATAATTTCTAATACCATGAACTATTATCACCACCAATTGAGCTTCACATAACTTATTCTACTGCCGAGGTATGTCATAGGCTCAAACTTACTATTTCGAGGTCTAGCGATGACTCCTACAAAATGAAAGACGGTCCCGACGGCCAGGAGACAGATGACCCTCAGCTGTTGTTTGCCCAGAGCCATCCTCCACCTGTGACGTCATCGCTCTTGCACTCACATTCTTCTAACTCTCACAAACTTGAAAAACTTTTACAGTTTCTCAGAAGATTTTGTGGTAAATTATTGAAGTTAGATTTTAATAAATACTAATTTTATTGAGCATAGGCGATAACTTAAATTATGGGATATAAAACTTGATTTGTTATTTATTCAAAGAGTGTGGTCATTAGGTATTGTAAAGGCCGGGTAATTCAAGGTGGTGTGTTGTGTCCGGTGGTGACTCACTGTCATGTGTGGTGACGTACCATGTTATAGTGAACAACTTTTCCTATATCGCTATAACACACTAATGTATCAACGACCTCGGATACATACGGCAGTTTCTCATCCATGAAACATGGACACATTTTCATGTTCATTTAAATTTGCACTGTACAGTCCGTCCCTGACTAATGTCGATAACAGCCTTGAGATAGGCAGGGCGTTGCATCATTCTTTATCGTAGGTTCTTAAATAGATAGTTAGCCAAAAAAATATATGATATTGTTACGAGTCCCTTTCGCCACTTACCCAACGTCCAACACTGGTCACCAGCTGCCAGGTCGTATATACAGAAGTAGTAGATATATCACAAATTGTAGTGGATTCCTCCCCTACAAGCACCGAACCTTCTCGAATTCCCCAGCCTACGCCTCCAGCGCTGCCCACGGAGCGGGGGTCAACTATCTACCCACGCCTTATAAGGCCTGACACCGTTGTGACCAGCCTCTTTCTACCCAGTGCCACCAGGAAGCAACACCTCCTCCTCCGCGCGGCTGCCGTTCCCGCCAGCGACCTTGGCGTCCCTCAAGCCGCTTGTCCCTCACTCTGGTCACCCTCACCACCCAGCTCTCTCTACTCAACGCTAATTACCATGCTACCTTCCCAGCAACAAGCTGCATTGTACATCCAATACAATATGTATACAGTGAGCACATTGTGAGTTTCCTTTCTCCATCCCATCCTGAGTGTGAACCAATATCTCACATAACCCTACTAAGTGTCGTTGAATTACCATTGGCTGTCCCGCCAGTTTCCGGTAATTTCCCGACGATCGGTATCAGTGTACAGACAAACAACAGGCCGGTAGATTTCTACCAGGTCACAGAAACACACTTGTGCACTGTACTACTGTAGCCCAGTACTTACCAACAGTGCGTAACGGAGACGTGACCGATTGCCCAAGCGGCTAACATAAGAACATAAGAATGGAGGAAACTGCAGCGGGCCTATTGGCCCATACTGGGCAGTCCCATTTACACCCAACCCCTATTGCTCATATATCCATCCACCCTATGTTTGAATCTATCCAGCGTATTCGAGTCAATAATGATGTTTAGTACAAGTTCCAAACCAATGTTTACCTATATCGCGCCTAAATCTAAATTTGTCTAATTTAAGATCATTGTTACGAGTTCGCTCCTGGCTGGACAGTTTGAGTACCTTTGTTATATCACCTTTGTTTAGCCATGACTTCCACTTACACACCTCTATCATGTCGCCCCTCGCTCTACGTCTCTCAAGGGAGTGCAAATTAAGATGCTTTTACCTGTCTCTGTACTCAAGGTTCCTAATGCCCTGGATTAGTCTTGTCATTCTCCTCTGAATTATTTCTAGGGATTCTATATCCATTCTGTAGTACGGTGATCCGAACTGAACTGCATAATCCAGGTGTGGTCTCACAAGCGTAAGATATAGTTTTAGGATGACCTCACTTGTCATGTAACTAACACTCCTTTGTATGAACCCAAGTACTTTATGAGCCTTGTTACGAGCAAAAACACATTGTTTACTTGGCTTAAGGTTCCTACTTATCATTACTCCTAAATCTCTCTCGCATTCGGATTTCTCTATAACATCGTTGTTCATTTGATATCTGGTTTCCCTGTTTACATCTCTCTCAGTACTTTACATTTGTCCACATTGAATTTCATCTGCCATTTTTCAGACCATTCGAAATTTTTTTTTTAGATCTTCCTGTGGTTTTGCGGAGTTCTCGTCAGATTTAATTACACGCCCTATTTTAGTGTCATCAGTAAATTTACTTATGTTGCTGTCTACGCCGATATCTGTGTCGTTTATGTTGTAGTGGATCCTATCCCCTATAACTGACGACTGAGCTGCAGCGCGCCTACCAGCCAATCAGCGTACAACCAGCGATGCTGGTAGACCTGTGGGGGTATGAGATATTGGTTCATACTCAGGATGGGATGGAGAAAGGAAACTCACAATGTGCTCACTGTATACATATTGTATTGGATGTACAATGCAGCTTGTTGCTGGGTAGGTAGCATGGTAATAAGCGTTGAGTAGAGAGAGCTGGGTGGTGAGGGTGCCCAGAGTGAGGGCACGCGGCTTGAGGGACGCCAAGGTCGCTGGCGGGAGCGGCAGCTGCCAGGCTGGCGCGGAGGAGGAGGTGTTGCTTCCTGGTGGCACTGGGTAGAAAAGAGGCTGGTCACAACGGTGTCAGGCCTTATAAGGCAGGGGTAGATAGTTGACCCCCGCTCCGTGGGCGGCGCTGGAGGCGTAGGCTGGGGAATTCGAGAAGGTTCGGTGCTTGTAGGGGAGGAATCCACTACAGACCTACTCCCCAGTGCGGACGCACATGTAGCAACCCCAGGATGAGAGTGCCGGGTACTTCTGGCATGGCGTGGCTGGCCAGGGAGACCATTCTACTCTGACCTACTGGACCAGCAAGACCTCTCTACAGTGCCTCACCAACCAGGCTCCCTCAGAAAGCTCCTTGCCCAACAGGACCTCTGAGCAAGCTATTCCTCACCTAGTAACGCCTTAGCACTGCACTGTACAACAATAAATAAACAGAAAACGCATTGTGAGTTTCTATCCTACCTCATTCCTGAGTGTGAGATATCTACATGTACGTACGTTTGTGTGCCCATAATAAGAGAATTGACAACTGGCCACATACAGTACGCTACAATAAGTGACCCCTGGAGCTGTGAACACCACACTCCCTCTACTGCTACCTTACCCTCGGAGCAGTGAACACCACACTCCCTCTGCTGCTACCTTACCCTCGGAGCAGTGAACACCACACTCCCTCTGCTGCTACCTTACCCTCGGAGCTGTGAACACCACACTCCCTCTGCTGCTACCTTACCCTCGGAGCTGTGAACACCACACTCCCTCTGCTGCTACCTTACCCTCGGAGCTGTGAACACCACACCTCTGCTGCTGCTCTTACCCTCGGAGCTGTGAACACCACACTTCTCTTGCTACTTTACCTCGGAGCTGTGAACACCACACTCCTCTGCTGCTCTTTTACCTCGGAGCTGTGAACACCACACTCTCTGTTGCTACTCTTACCTGGAGCTGTGAACACCACACTCTCTGCTGCTACTCTTACCTGGAGCTGTGAACCACACTCCTCTGCTGCTTCTTACCTCGGAGCTGTGAACACCACACTCCTCTGTTGCTGCTCTTACCTCGGAGCTGTGAACACCACACTCCCTCTGCTGCTACTTACACCTCGGAGCTGTGAACACCACACTCCTCTGCTGTTGCTCATTCGGAGCTGTGAACACCACACTCTCTGCTGCTACCTTACACTTCGGAGCTGTGAACACCACACTCCTCTGCTGCTACCTACCCTCGGAGCTGTGAACACCACACTCTCTGCTGCTGTTCCTTACCTTCGAGCTGTGAACACCACCCCTCTGTTGCTGCCTACCTCGGAGCTGTGAACACCACACTCCTCTGCTGCTGCCTTACTACTGAGCTGTGAACACCACACTCCTCTGTTGCTATTCTTACCCTCGGAGCTGTGAACACCACACTCCCTCTGTTGCTGCTCTTACCCCTCGGAGCTGGAACACCACACTCCTCTGCTGCTGCCTACCTCGAGCTGTGAACACCACACTCTCTGCTGCTGCCTTACCTTGAGCTGTGAACACCACACTCCTCTGCTGCTACCTTACCCTCGGAGCTAGAACACCACACTCCCTCTCTGTTGCTACCTTACCTCGAGCTGTGAACACCACACTTCTGCTGCTACCTACCCTCGGAGCTGTGAACACCACACTCCCTCTGCTGCTACTTTTACCCTCGGAGCTGTGAACACCACACCTCTCTGCTGTTGCCTTACCCTGGAGCTGTGAACACCACACCCTCTGCTGTTGCTACTCTTACCTCGGAGCTGTGAACAACACTCCTCTGTTGCCTTACCTGGAGCTGTGAACACCACACTCCCTCTGCTACTCTTACCCTCGGAGCTAGAACACCACACTCCTCTGCTGCTGCTCTGCCTCGGAGCTGTGAACACCACACTCCCTCTGCTGCTACCTTACCTCGGAGCTGTGAACACCACACTCTCTGCTGTACCTTTACCTCGAGCGAACACCACCTCTGTTGCTGCTCTTACCTCGAGCTGTGAACACCACACTCCTCTGCTGCTGCCTTACCCTCGGAGCTGTGAACACCACACTCTCTGCTGCTGCTTTACTCCTCGAGCTGTGAACACCACACCCTCTGTTGCTACCCACCCGAGCTGTGAACACCACACTCCCTCTGCTGCTACCTTACCTCGGAGCTGTGAACACCACCTCTGTTGCTACTTACTCTGAGCTGTGAACACCACACTCCCCTCTGTTGCTACTTTACCTCGAGCTGTGAACACCACACTCTCTGCTGCTGCTACTCTACCTCGAGCTAGAACACCACACTCCTCTGTTGCTCTTACCTCGAGCTGTGAACACCACACTCCCTCTGCTGCTACTCACCTCGGAGCTGTGAACACCACACTCCTCTGTTGCTCTTACCCTCGGAGCTGTGAACACCACACTCCCTCTGCTGCTACTCTACCTTGAGCTAGAACACCACACTTCTGTTGCTACCTTTTACCTCGAGCTGTGAACACCACACCCTCTGTTGCTACTTCCACTCTTGAGCTGTGAACACCACACTCCCTCTGCCTACCCTGAGCCAGAACACCACACCTCTGTTGCTACCTTACCCTCGGAGCTGTGAACACCACACCCTCTGCTGCTGCCTTACCCTTGAGCTGTGAACAC